GGAAAGGACCTTCAAGATAATCTGGTTCCAACCCTGCTGTCATGGGCAGGGACACCTTCCAGTAGACCAGGTTGCTCAGAACCCCACCCAAACTGGGATTGAACACTTCTAGGGATGGGGCATCTACAACTTCTCTGGGCAACCTGTGTCAGAACCTGAGCACCCTCACTTCACCCAGGGGAGAGTTCTCAGCCATAGCTATGTGAAAATGCAGAGTTAAATAATTTGTAGCCCTGCCACTCCAAATAGCACTGATAGTCTAGAGAGTGGTAAATGATACATAAAGCACCTCTTTGTTCAGGAAGCATGTCCTCCTAGTAAACAACATAGAAAGAACCTTCAGAAACCCATTTCCTACATATTCTGAGCCAGGAATACTCAGCCTACATACTCTGACAGGTCAGGAGGACAGGGTCGATGAATGACTCACAGCAGGTTGCATGGATGATCTGGGATCTATCAAGGTTCCTTACAATAATGGCGCTTTTTTTCCCTAATAATATAGTGATGTGCCATGGTGTAAACTCAGTCCAGCCTGGCAGTGACTAGCCCATCAGCTTCTTTATATCTTGCTATGTGTTTTCTTCCCTGTCTATACTCTGGAGTGCACATCCCATTTGCCAGAGTTTATCGATGACACAGTTGCAGGCTGGGAACTGACCCATCTTCCTTAAGCTGATCTCCCCATGCCCTGTGCTTCCACGGGACTAGAAACCAGCTCAGCACCACTTCATTCCTGCCCACGCCACTGTGCTTGCCTGCCTTCATTTATATCTATTTAACCTTCTCACTCCTTTGATGACAGGCTATGTGTGAATGAGATGGAGTTTAGCCTATCAGCCCACCTATTTTCCTGACATCCGCTGTTCCCTTACATGTGTCCTTAGCCAGCTTCAGTAAAGCAGGACTCTGTCTCCTTCACTCATGCCACAGCTGAGTAATTTCCAATAAAATAAGGAGTTGTATTTTTCTGAGTTATATAAATAGGAACCTTGCCACAGTAATAACAAATACCTGCAGCTCATCTTATTGCTGTTAAAGTTCTCTAGAGACCTAAAAAGGTATTTTTACAATGGCTAAGTTATTAGTTATTACCGCAAGAAAAGTCATAACTTTTGAAATTAAATATTAAGTGACGTCCTGCTACAGGACTTAAACTATTTTCTAATTATTAGGGCTTAAATAATAAATTTTTCTGGATTTATTTGAATAGGGAGCTAATGCAGATACTCTGGAAGTGAGCCCCTGTCTGAGAAAAGATACTAAACATGCTGGACCACTGGTTTGCCTCTGGAATTGTCATTCTGACCACTCTGTGAATTCATATTTCAAAAGGATAGTAATTTCACACACACTAAGCATGAGGCACCACACACAGATGCAGATAAACACAGTACATACAATTTTAAGGACTGCTTGACTTTTTTTTGTTTTTTAAAGACTGAGAAAACTGGACAGAATAAATAATATGTTTTCCACTTGATTGATAAAAATGTGACTGTAGAGAGACAAGGTACGATTCATCTAATCTAAATGAAGATATCTACATCTAAGTTGTTGTGGGTTTCCTTTATAGCTGAGAGCTAGGCATTTTTAGGGTGGGGTTCACCTGGCCTCTGCTAGACATTTATATCCAATCAGCTGAATGTACCCCAGAGGCACACATGATGCAGCTGAACTTCATCAAGCCTTGGAGGATGCAACGCCCTCCTGTTGAGTGAGGGCTCACACTATTTCTTGCTGTGCAGCAGGAGATACAGCTATTTTAAATCATATAAATCCCAGACGGCTATTTCTCAAACTGTGGGAGTCAGGGGAGGTCAGGAGATGATTTAGAGCAGCAGGTAGGCAGTAGTGGTAGGCATCATCTCCTTTCCTTCCCCTCAGAAGAACAGTAAGGGATCACAGTTACCACTTGCAATGATTTGTATTAGTCAGGGAAGCAGCTAATTACCTTTGATTGCTGACAGACTCATTTCTTTCAGGGTGAAGGAGTGAATTTTTCCTGCCTCTGAATAAGTGAGCTGGTGGAGCTCAAGGGTCTGGAAAACCAGAAGAGCAGAAAGGGTTTCAAAGGTGCCTCTGTCCCAGGTGCATGAGGAAATCCCTGATGGCATCTCACACCAAACTTCCACCTCCCATGCCATGAGACTGCTCTGCAAGTGCTGCCACCATGGGAATGGAAGAGCAATGCTCCCATGCCTAGTTTTGGAGGTCTGGGTTTTGCCAGTTCAAAAAGAGATTCATGTGCTGGGTCATTCAGAACATTGATTTTAGACTGTAACTCTGAACTGTCCTCTGGAGAAACTCCTTTCATTCACACTTTATACAGAGTATCTGT